CGGCGGGGGGTGGGTATCCAGAGGCCGATTGTGGAGTCTGACCCCCCCATGTGCCCCCCCAGAGCTGCCCCCCCGGGGGCCCCGACTGGAGCTGCCCCTCTCCATGCTGCAAGTGGGCTGCGCCGGACGCTTCGAACTCATCACCCGGCCGGAGGGGCCCGACGGGGACACGTTCCCCCTCTGCACGGTGAGCCCCCCAGTGCCGGCGTGGGGCCAGCGCCCCCGGCTGCCCCCCATCCCGTGCCCTACCCGGCCGGCGTGTGAACTCTCCCTTCTCTCCGCTTCCAGCTGCCCCACGGCCTGCCCCCCTACGCCATGGACCTGGCCTCGGAGCTGGAGCGGCGCTTCCTGGCCAGCCCCGAATGGCTGCCCCTGCACCGCTTCGACAGGGCCCCCAGGTGAGCGGCCCGGGCAGGTGGGGTCACCGGGGCACCTGTCCCCAGCCGGGGCCCATCCCTCGGATGTGGGGGGGGGCGTGTTGGAGGGGGCGGGGACTGGTGCTGACTCCACCCCTCTGCGGCCCCCAGGGTCTGGCCACGGGAGAAGGACGTCTGGTCGCTGTTGGAGACGGACCCCACCCCCGTGCACTCCACGCTGCAGACGGAGCGGGACCCCACCACGGGGCAGATCCTGGCCTTCAGAGAGGTGAGTGTGCCGGCCCGGACGCTGGGGTCCCATCTCTTCCCTCCCCGAGGGGTGCAGTCCCGGACGCCAGGGTCCCGTCCCTTCCCTCCCCCAGGGCTGGGAACTATGTAGCACCCAAGAGGTGCTGTCCCGGACGCCGGGGTCCCATCCCTGTGCTGCCCGGGATTAGGGTGATGGTGCCCACCGGGGTCCTATCCCCTTGCTTTCAGTGGGGTGGGATCTGGGGTGATCCCTCAGGATGAGCCTTGTCCTGGACGCCTGGGTGCCCCTCCGCCAGGGTCTGGGAGCCGCGCGGCCCCCCGTGGGTGCGGCCCGCTCTGACCCTGTCCTGCTCTCCGCCCCAGGCGCCGTTGGACAACATGGGGCTGTCGGCCAAGAACTCGCTCTCCTTCCAGCGGGCACCAGGGCCCCCTGCCCAGGCCCTGCGGGGCAGCAGCACCAACTACCCCTTCTGGCCAGGTTCGTGACCCCCCCGCTCCCCGAGCTCCCCCATCGGCCGCAGGGGCTTCTGGGACTGAGTCTCTCTCTGGCTCCCTAGGTGGGATGGACGAGCCCAGCATGGAGCAGATCAGTGCCAAAGATCACCTGGAGGAGGACATCGACTTCGAGAGAGGTACATGGGACCCTGGCGTCCTGTATCCCCCCCACCCCCTCATGCCAGCCAGTCCCCGTGTCCCTTTCCCTGCCCCCTGAGCCAGCCAGTCCCTGTCCTGGGGCCGAGTGGGAGCTGGCACCCCCTAGAGGGGACAGGCCCCTTCCCCACCCCCCTGAGCCAGCCAGTCCCTGCCCTGGGGCCGAGTGGGAGCCGGCGCCCCCTAGACGGGGACAGGCCCCTGCCCCATTCCCCGCCCCCCTGAGTCAGCCAGTCCCTGGTGAAATTCTGCCTCCTTTTCCTTCCCCGCTGCCCAGACTTGCTGACGGTGCCGCCGGGCTGGAAGAAGGGGGTGGAGTTCAAGCCGCAAGGTACCAACCCCCCAACTGGGGAGCCCTGGGGAGAGGGAGCGGGTTGGGGGGGGACTGGCTGGGCTGCCCCCCGCCCAGACTGGCTCTTGTCCTTTCCTCCCGGCTCCTGGCCAAGGGGGAGCGTGTGAACCCAGCGAGGCAGCCGGGCAGATGCTGGCGTCTTGGGGCAAAGATGGGTGGGGGCCCGGGTTTGGGGGGGCGGGGGGCTCAGGGCCCGAGCCTTTGGCCGCTGGGCTGTACCTGGGCGGGTGCTCATTTTGGGGGGGTCCGCTCTGAGATCCCCCTGAGCTGGGGAGCCCAGCCCTAGGACCCCATGTGTGTGTCCCCCACGGTGGGTTGGTCCCCTCGAAGCCCCCCAGCTCTTCACCCCTGTATTTGTCCCCCCAGCTGCGGCACTCCAGGCTTCCCCGGGGCTGCTGCCCCTGTCCGGCCTGCTGGGGGCGCTGGACTCCTTTGAGCTGGGCGGCTCCAGTGACGAGGAGGAGGAGGAGAAGAGGAAGACGAAGGCCAAGGGGCCAGGGGGGAAGGAGGGAGAGACGTCCCCAGCCCCCACCCCGGCCGTGCAGAGGGCAGACAGCCTAGAGGAGCTGGTGCTGAAGGTGGGGGGTGGGTGCGTTTCTGGGGGCGTTGGACCAAGGAGATCTGGGGGGACGGAGGTTTTGGGGTGGCTGGGGGCGGGGGGAGGGAATCAGGGGTTGGTGTTGGGGGTGGGAGGCTATCGAGGGAGGGGATGCTCTGGGGGGCACTAGGGGGTGGTGAGAAGGGGAGAAGTGGGGGTTGGCGTGGGGGGCTGGGAGGGAGGGGGCAGGGATTGCCCTGGATGCTGAACCCTCTAACCAGCCCCTCTGCCCCCCCAGGAGGTGACCCCCGGGCCCCCGCCGCCCGTCCAGGCTGTGCCCCCCCAGCCCCCCAAGGAGCAATGGGCGATTCCCGTCGACATCTCCTCGCCTGTGGACGACTTCTACAAACGCATCCCCGACCCGGCCTTCCGGGTGAGACCGCCGCCCCGGGCGGCGCTGGGGGGCTGTGACCCTGGGGGGGGGGGTCTCCCTGGCTGTCAGTGCTGGGTGATGTGGGGGTGGGGCGCTGTCCTGGCTGTCAGTGCTGAGCTAGGAGGTGGGGGGGGGGTGCTGTCCCTGGCCTGTCGGTCCTGGGTCTGTCCTGCAGAGGAGGCCCAGCAGGGGGCGCTGTCCCGGCTGACTCAGTTTCCCTGCGCTCCCAGTGGCCGTTCGAGCCAGATGTGTTCCAGAAACAGGCCATCCTGCACCTGGAGAAGCACGACTCGGTCTTCGTGGCCGCGCACACCTCGGCGGGGAAGACGGTGGTGGCCGAATACGCCATCGCCCTGGCCCAGAAGCACATGACCAGGTGAGAGCCCCCCCTCCTCCCCCCCCGCCGAGCCGGAACCACCAGCGCTCCCCCAGGGGACAGGCTCTGTGCCCCATTTCCCTCCCCCCGGTGCCAGCCGGCTGCCCTGTCTTTACCCCTTTCGGCCCTGTCTCCCCCCAGGACCATCTACACTTCCCCCATCAAGGCTCTGTCCAACCAGAAGTTCCGAGATTTCAAGAACACCTTTGGGGACGTGGGGCTGCTGACGGGGGATGTCCAGCTGCACCCCGATGCCTCCTGCCTCATCATGACCACCGAGATCCTGCGGTGAGGGGCTCCGGGGCTGCAGGTTGGGAGTGAGGGGCAGCCGCAAAGCTGGGCGGGAGTGAAGGGCAGGGCCTGGGGGCTGTGGGGTGGGAGCGAGGGGCAGGGGCTGGGGGCTGGCCAGGGGGCCGTGGGGTGGCAGCGAGGGGCAGGGGCTGTGGGGCTGGGCAGGGGGCCGTGGTCTAGCTGTCTGTCCGTTTGGCTCAGGTCCATGCTGTATAACGGCTCAGACGTGATCCGGGATCTGGAGTGGGTGATCTTTGACGAGGTTCATTACATCAACGATGCAGAGGTGAGGTCGGGGGGGGGGGGCGGGGGGCGGACATTGTGCGCAACATTACAATGGCCAGACTGGGTCAGCCCGACGGTCCCTCTAGCCCAGTGTCCCGTCTGCCAACAGTGGCCAGTGCCAGGGGCCCCAGAGGGAATGAACAGAACAGGGAATCAAGTGACCCATCCCGTCACCCATTCCCAGCTGCTGGCAAACAGAGGCTAGAGACACCATCTCTGCCCAGCCTGGCTAAGAGCCATTGATGGACCGCAAAAAGAAGAACAGGAGGACTTGTGGCACCTTAGGATGCCACCGATCCTCATGGACCGATCCTCCATGAACTTATCTAGTTCTTTTTTGACCCCTGTTCTAGTCTTGGCCTTCACAACATCCTCTGTCAAGGAGTTCCACAGGTTAACTGTGCATTGTGTGAATACTTCCTTTTGTTTGTTTTAAACCTGCTGCCCATTAATTTCATTGGGTGATTCCTAGTTCTTGTGTTATGAGGAGTAAATAACACTTCTTCACACCAGTCATGATTGTATAGACCTCAATCATATGCCCCCTTAGTGGTCTCTTTTCCAAGCTGAGAAGTCCCAGTCTTATTAATCTCTCCTCACACAGCAGCTGTTCCATCCCTCTAGTCATTTTTGTTTCTGAACCTTTTCCAATTCCAATAGATCTTTTTTGAGATGGAGCGGCCACATCCGCACGCAGTATTCAAGCTGTGGGCATATCCTGGATTTATATAGAGGCAATAGGATATTTTCTGTCTTATCATCTCTCCCTTTCTTAATGGTTCCCAACGTTCTGTTCGCTTGTTTGACACCGCGGCACACGGAGTGGATGTTGTCAGAGAACTCTCCGCAATGACGCCAAGATCTCTCGAGTGGTAACAGCTAATTCATTCCCCATCATTGTATATCTAGTTGGGATTGTGTTTTCCAATGTGCATTACTTTGACTTATCAACACTGAATTTCATCTGCCAGTTTGTTGCCCAGTCACCCAGTTTTGAGAGATCTCTTTGTAACTCTTCGCAGTCTGCCTGGGACTTAACTATCTTGAGTCATTTTGTATCATCTGCTAATTTTGCGTATTTTTTGCAAATTTTCCAACCGGTTTGCCCGGTACTATTAGTCGACAGGATCACAGCGTAGGGCAGAGCTTGTTAGCACAGAAATCAGTGACTTTCAGCCAAGTCCGTCTTGGGGAGTCCTGGCCCAGACGCCCTGGATTCCCCCCTCTTCCAGTCTCCCCCCCGCAGACCTCCAGCCACCCCACCTCCGACACCCCCCTTTGCTCCTGCTCCTTCTCTTTGTCTCCCGGGCAAAAGGTGTCACCTGGTCACGCACCCCTCCTGGGTCTCAGGTTGCACACATCTGGGCAGCCTCACCTGCCCCAGGGCCTCGGCAAAACTCACCCCCCCAATTCCCACCACTGAAGTATTGGTGCAGCACACAGGGAAACTGAGGCACACCCCGTATTCGTATAGGACAGGAAGACTCACCTGCAACATAATGAGATGAATAAACCCACTTCCTCAGATCTCATGTCTTTCAAAAGTTTCCATTTAGGGATTGCCGTTTGGGCGCTGTCTGTTCAACCAACCGCCTCAGTTTTGCGTAGTTCCCCTTTCGGAAACGAAATGCTGCCATGCTGGGCCGCTGGGGTGTTTTCCCCGCCGCAGGGATGTTAATAGCGACTGTAATAGAATTAAATTTACCAAGAGCTCCAGCTATATTCACCTCTCGGACCAGACCCTGTGCTCCACTTAGGACTAACTCAAGACTTGCCTCTCCTCGGGTGGGTCCCAGGACTAGCTGCTCCAAGAAGCAGTCGCTTAAGGTGTCAAGAAACTTTATTTCTGCATCCCGCCCTGAGGTGACATGGATCCCGTCAATATGGGGAGAGTCAAAATCCCCCATTATTGTTGAGTTTTTAATTTTTATAGCCTCTCTAATCTCCCTGCGCATTTCACAGTCACTATCGCCACGCTGGTCAGGTGGTCGGTAATAGATCCCTACCGCTCTATTCGTATTATCAGGCATGGAATTACAATCCAGAGAGATTCTGTGGGACACTTTGGCTCATTTAAGATTTTTTACTTCATTTGATTCTACACTTACTTTCACATCTGGTGCCACTCCAACAGCGTGACCTGTTCTGTCCTTCCGATAGATTTTGTACCCTGGAATTACTGTGTCCCATTGATTATCCTCATTCCACCAAGTTTCTGTGATGCTCATTATATCAATCTCCCCGTTTAATACGAGGCACTCTAGTTCACCTGGCTTGGTATTTAGACTTCTAGCATTGGTATATAAGCACTTTAAAAACTTGTCACTTTTTAGCTGTCTGCCATTATGTGAGGTCATTGAATGGGACTCTCTTCATTTGACTGTTTCTCATCAGATCCTACCTGTATTTTGTCATCTTCCACCTTCTCCTCCTTACTGGGACATTGAAAATCTCCATTAATAGATCCTCCCCTAAGGGATGGCTCTGTTCGAACCACGTGCTCCTCCGCACCTTTCAGCTTTCCCCCAGCCCTTAGTTTAAAAAACTGCTCAACGACCTTTTTCACGTTAAGTGCCAGCAATCTGGTTCCAATCTGGTTCAGGTGGAGCCCATCCTTCCTGTATAGGCTCTGCCTTTCTCAAAAGTTTCCCCAGTTCCTAATGCAGCTAAACCCCTCCTCCCTACACCGTCCTCTCATCCCCGCATGGAGACCCTGCAGCTCTGCCAGCAACAGGTGGCGGTCAGGCCGCGGAGGGGAGTATGGGGGCAATCATGGGGCTTGGGTGGGGTCTCTGGGCGGGGCTTCTGGCTCCAGCAGGACCCCCCCGGCACGGTGGGGGGGGGGCTGTACACTGACCCCTCCCCCCATGCCCCCCCCAGTGCGGCATGGTGTGGAAGGAGGGGGAAGGGGGGCAAGCCCTACATTGACCCCTCCCCCCCAGCGCGGCTTGGTGTGGGAGGAGGGGGGGGGCCAGGCTGTACACTGACCCCTCCCCCCATGCCCCCCCCAGCGCGACGTGGTGTGGGAGGAGGGGGGGGGCAGGCTGTACACTGACCCTTTCCCCCCCCCCCCCACGCGCGGCGTGGTGTGGGAGGAGGTGCTGATCATGCTGCCGGAGCACGTGAACATCATCCTGCTAAGTGCCACCGTCCCCAACACGCTGGAGTTCGCCGACTGGATCGGGTGAGGCGGGATCAGGAGGGTAGGGGCTGGGAGGATCGGGGGGGGGTAGGCGGGGAAGGGGCTGGTGGGGGAAGGGGGGGTGTAGTTGGGGGGGGGCTGGGGAGGAGTAGTGGGGGGCTGGTGGGGAAGGGGGGTGTATTGGGGTTGGGGGGCTGGGGGGCAGGCGGGTGCTGACACACACCCCCCCGCCGCCCCACAGGCGGATCAAGCGGAAGCGGATCTACGTGATCAGCACCCGGCGGCGCCCCGTGCCCCTCGAGCACCATCTCTACACGGGCAACAGCCACAAGACCCAGCACGAACTCTTCCTGCTCCTCGACGCCCGCGGCACCTTCCTCACCAAGGGGTGAGCCCCCCGCGTCTCCCCCCCCCCTCCCCCAGTGACAGGCCGGGCGTCTCCCCTCCCCCGCTGCCCCTCCCTCCCGGGGCTCCCTACGAACCCCCAGCGCCGGGCCAGGCGTCTCCCCTCCCCCGCTGCCCCTCCCTCCTGGGGCTCCCTACGAACCCCCAGCGCCAGGCCGGGCGTCTCCCCTCACCAGCTGTCCCGCCCCTCCCTCCCCCAGTGACGGGCCGGGCGTCTCCCCTCCCCCGCTGCCCCTCCCTCCCGGGGCTCCCTACTAACCCCCAGCGCCGGGCCGGGCGTCTCCCCTCACCCACTGTCCCCCCAGGTACTATGCGGCGGTGGAGGCGAAGAAGGAGCGCTCCAGCAAACACGCCCAGACCTTCGGGGCCAAGCAGCCCACACACATGGGCACCGGGCCGGGCCAGGTCAGCACCGGGGGGGTCACGGCAGCAGGGGGAGGGAGGGGAGGCTGTCACTGTGATGTGACAGGCTCTGGGGCGACAGTGGGGTGTGATGGGAGGTGGGTACAGGGGTGTCCTGGGGACTGGGGCAGGCGTGGGGGTGCTGCTGTTGGGGGGGCAATTCAGGGGGAATATGGGGGGGCAGGGGGGAGACGCAGGGGAGCTCAGGGCCCCGGCGTGACCCCCCCCCGCCCCTCCCCAGGAGAAGGGCGTGTGGCTCTCGCTGATGGATGCGCTGCGGAAGCGGGACCAGCTGCCCGTGGTGGCCTTCACCTTCTCCCGCGCCCGCTGCGACGACAACGCGTCCGCGCTCACCACCCTCGACCTGACCACGAGCGCCGAGAAGAGCCAGATCCACCTCTTCTTCCAGAAGTGCCTCTCCCGCCTCAAGGGCTCCGACCGCCAGCTGCCCCAGGTCAGAGCCGGAACGGGACAGGAAGTGGGGCTGGCACTGGCCCGGCTCCTCATGCATGGGACAGGAAATGGGGCTGGCATTGGCTCGGCTCCTCATGCATGGGACAGGAAGTGGGGCTGGGGCTGGCACTGGCCCGGCCCCTCATGGATGGGACAGGAAGTGGGGCTGGGGCTGGCACTGGCCCGGCCCCTCATGGATGGGACAGGAAGTGGGGCTGGCATTGGCCCGGGCCCCATGGATGGGACAGGAAGTGGGGCTGGGGCTGGCACTGGCCCGGCCCGTCATGGATGGGACAGGAAGTGGGGCTGGCATTGGCCCGGCTCCTCATGGATGGGACAGGCAGTAGGGACCTTAATATAGCTGGAGGTGCTACCCTACAGAGGTCAAAGGCCATGGGTGGCCATCTTGGACATTGGCACAGGCTGGGCTCTCCAGGGATGGGACAGGAAGTGGAGAATGGGACAGGAAGTGCACGCCCCTTAAAGCGAGCCCGGAGAGCAGGAAGCGGACACCGCCCCCTGGGCAAGGCAGCTCCAGGGCCCAGGGTGTTGGCCAGGTTCCTCTGTGAGAGGAAGTGGGCACCCTGGCATGGCCGCTGGGGGTTAAAGGGCACAGACAGGAAGTCCCGCCCCACGGGGGCTAGGGTTGCTGGAGGTCAGCAAGGCGGTGTTGAAGGACGTGCCAGGTGCTGCCGTATAGGACGCTTTCGGGACAAAGGGGACAGGAAGTTGCGCCCCACTGGGTGAAAGGGGGTTGGGAGAAATGTCTCTCTGCCTAGTGCTTCCAGGTCAAAGGGCACTCAACAGGAAGTGACATCAGCTGGGTCCCTTAGTGTGTGGTTTTGACTGGCCCATTGGCCCTCGCTGTTGAGGGAGGGGTCAGAGGGTGCCAGACAGGAAGTCCCGCCCCCAGAGAGAACAGGGTTGGCGTGAGTGCATGTACTGGGAGGCCCCAGCCAGGTCAAAGGGCACTCAGCAGGATGCTACCAGAAGTTGGGTCCCAAGGGGTTGGTGGGAGTGAGGCAAGCACTTCCTGTGATGTGCCCTTTGACCTGGAAGTTGTAGTTGGCCACCCAGGAAGTGGGTCCCTGGTGGAAGGGTTTGGCTTGAGCCTGCTTCCGGGTCAAAGGGCACCTCACAGAAAGCGATGGGGGAGGGAGGCAGGAAGTTGGGGTTGGCGTGAGTTGGTCAGGCACTTCCAGGTCAAAGGACGCTGCACAGGAAGTTGCGTTGGATGACACAGGAAATGGGCATCTTAGGTTCCCGAGGGGTTGGCGTGACTTCAGGGCTCCCTCGGGGGCTTCTGGGTCGAAGGGCGCCGGATAGGAAGTGTCCTGGGGTGAGACAGGAAGCAGGATCTCCAGCGTGTGCACGGATTTAAAGTGTCCCCCTGGGGGGGGCGGTTTCAGGTGCTGCACATGGTGGAGCTGCTGAAGCGGGGCATCGGGGTGCACCACAGCGGGATCCTGCCCATCCTCAAGGAGGTCGTGGAGATGCTCTTCAGCAAAGGGCTGGTCAAGGTGAGAGGGCGGGGCTGGGCAGGTGGGAGGAGCTGGAGGGTGTGGGGGCGGGGCTGGGTGGGTGGGAGGAGCTAGAGGGGGTGGGGCTGGTGGGTAGGAGGAACCAGGGGGGTGGGGTTTGGCAGATGGGTGGGAGATGTGGGTGAGGGGGTGGGGCTGGGCTGGTGGGAGGAGCCCGAGGGGGCGTGACCACATGTTTTGCGCCTGCCCCCCCTCCCCTCCCCTCCCCTCCCCTCCTCCCCAGATCCTCTTCGCCACCGAGACCTTTGCCATGGGGGTGAACATGCCGGCCCGCACCGTGGTCTTCGACTCCGTCCGCAAGCACGACGGCTCCGGCTTCCGTGACCTGCTGCCAGGTGGGTGCTAGGGGCTGGGCTGCAGGAGGCAGCAGGGGGCTCTCCCCGGGCAGTCAGGGCTCCCC